TAGCCACCCTCCCCCCCACCTTCCCTCTGAGATCCCACAGTTGGTTCCATGCTACTATGTCTCTGGATCTGTTTTGTTAATTAGAATCCACATATGAGTGAGGTCATGTGATCCTTGTCTTTCTCTGACTGGCTTATTTCGCTTAGCACAATGCTCTCCAGGTCCATAGTGTCTCAGAGGGTAAGCGATCCTTCTTTTTTACAGCTGCATAGTATTCCATTGTGTAAATGTACCACAGCTTTTTAATTTCTAAAAAAATATATATTTTTATTGATTTCAGAGAGGAAGAGAGAGGGAGAGACAGAAACATCAATGATGAGAGGGAATCATTGATCAGCTGCCTCCTGCATGCCCCCCCCCCCCCATTGGGGATTGAGCCCACAACCTGGGCACTTGTTTATTTATTGAGTAGGGGCCCAGTGCTCGAATTTGTGCACCTTGAAAGGAATTGTGGGCTGTGAGGCTGCGGTGGACACAGTGGTGGGTCTCCGCCCATCCTCTGCACCCCCACCTGGCATGGTCCCATCTGCTGGCAGCCTTTCTCCCACTGCCACTGCTCAAACCCACTGACAGCACGGAGCTTTGGGGGCTGGTGCCAGCAGCGGCTGCTGCCCTAATCATCCTCAGGAGCAGGGAGAGGTGGAGATGCCCTGAGGGGCCTCCCTGATCGCCACTCAGGAGCAGGGGGAGGTGGAGAAGCCCTGAGGAGCAACCGGGGCCAGCAGCTGACACTCGCACCCGCTGATGGCACTGAGTGATTGGGGTAGTGCCAGGCACTGGCAGTGGGTGGCAGCAGGTGCAAGCGCTGGGTGGGATCATGGTGTGTGGGAGTAAAGAATTCTCAGTAACCACCAGAGGCTGGCTCCAAAGACAGCGATCGGTACCCCACCTTAGTCTGGCAACCCTTCTCACCTGCTCTACCATCCGCCACGGCTGATGCCCACCATGTTTCATGCTCTGCCACCTGCTACTGCCACCCGCCATGTTCCCTTGGTGGTCAGCGCAAGTCATAGGGACCAGTTATTCTGCCATTTGTTTTATTTGCATATTAGCCTTTTATTATATAGGATAGGACGGTAACCATTTTGACAGGTGTGAGGTGATATCTCATTGTGGTTTTAATTTGCATTTCTGATTATTAGTGACTTTGAGCATTTTTTCATGCTGTATTGGCCATCTATTGGCCATCTGTATGTCCTCTTTGTAGAATTGTCTGTTCAGGTCCTTTGCCCATTTTTAAATTGGACTTAATTGTTGACTAGTATGAATTCTTTATGTATTTGGATATTAACCCCTTATCAGGTGTATCACTGGCAAATATGTTCTCCTATACAGTGGGGTCTCTTTTCATTTTGATGGTGGTTTCTTTTGCTGTGCAGAAGCTTTTCAGTTTGATGTAGTCCCATTTGTTTAGTTTTTCCTATTTCTCTTACCCTTGGAGATGTATCAGTGAAAATTCTGCTATGTGAGATATCTGAGTTTTTACTGCCTATGTTTTTTTCTAGGATTTTCATGGTTTCATGACTTACATACTGAATTTATCTCGTGTCTGGTGTAAGTTGGTGGTCTAGTTTCATCTTTTTTTGCATGTGTGTCCAGTTTTCCCAAAACCATTTGTTGAAAGACTGTCTACGCCATTGTATGTTTTTACTTTCCTTGTCAAATACTGACAGCAAATGGTGTGGGTCAATTTCTGCGGACTCTGTTCTGTCCCATTGGTCTATATGCCTGTTCTTATTGCCAGTAACAGACTGTTTTGATTACAATGGCTTTGTAGTATAGTTTGATAACCAGTATTGTGATCCCTCCAACTTTGTTCTTCTTTTACAAGATTGCTGTGGCTGTTTGGGGTCTTTTTGTTAGTTTGTTTGTTTGAAGCCCTCTTTCTTAAGGTGCATGATTCACATCATAGACATAGTAGATATGTAGATTTATTATGACAATTTTCAAGAATGTGGCAATAAATTGTCTTGAGGAAGGGACTAGGGCCTATGAGGTAACCCAGGCCCGCCTTTCTGAATACACTGTGCTCTGTACCTTTAAAGGTGTTGGAACCCTCTACTAGGGGTGTCAAACTCAATCAGAGAAGGGGCCAAAATCTAAAATCCAGCCTAAATCGCGGGCCGAATGGTTTACTGAACAGTCATAAACTGTCATTGTGATGGAAACGCAGCGGAGTGCAGTGATGACAGCGCGGTGCGGGCCACATTGCAAGGCCTGGCGGGACGGATTTGGCCCGCAGGCCTTGTGTTTGACACATGTGCTAGCCTGTCTGGTCAACTTGGTCCCTCACCATTCAAAGTCCAGTAAAGACACCACCTCCTTGGTGAAGCCTTCTCCACCAGGTGCAGCATGTTCCCTTGAGCCTTAGAGCTCTTGGGACACACCTGTATCTTCCCACCTCACAAAAGATGTCTGTCTTCATCTGGCTGAACCGTCATTCACCTTGCAATCTACCCCCCTCACCCCAGCATAACATTTAGTATTTGTTTGAGAAAGAATATGGAAACTGTATAAGGTTAACTTACCTTATTAAAAGCTTAGATTTGAGAAATACTGATCACCAAAACTCTCTCTAGTATGCCATTTAGTGTTTGAGATTCTACCCTTGGATCAGGCTAACTCATTGGCGCCATGTGCCCAGAGAGTGCTCGTCCCCAGGCCGAGTGGCCTGACTACGGTTTGGCTCGTGCCTTGACTGGTGCTGAGGGAGTGGGAGAAACAGCCATTAACATTTCTGTGTGGCATGGCTAAGAGGACATTATTACACCTCACAGGCTTGCTTCCTGAGGTCCATGAAAAATAAGCCCTGTGATCTCTGTACAAGGAACATTTTGCTTCTTTTGAGTATAGCAGTGTTTTTTACTTTGCAAAGTGAGTTATTTGATTACTGTGAAGCTAAGATGTGCACTTAACTGCAATGCTGCAAACTAACTTTCCCCCAGCTCCCCTGGGATATGATTTATCTATTCTAAATGACCTCTCCGTATTGTGATGAACATATTTTGGGAACCAGACAGATGGCAACACTTGCCCTGGGCACACAGCCATCACGTGCAGAATTGGGTCTGGAACCCATGTGCTCTGACCTTATCGGGCAGAGACTAAAAGGAACCAAGTGGAAAGGAAGCGAATGCTTCCAGATCAGCCTCTGGGATTTCCGAGGGATGGTGCAGAACTGCCAAAGACATCTATGTCCCTCACTTCAGGCCCCAAGGGGGCTCTGGAGTCTCTAGGAAGATGGAGGTGAACAGAGCACGTAAGATGATCACACTGTTGGGCCATCGGTCAGGGGCCCTGGGCAGGCCTCTCCTCATTACACAAGCTTAGTAGCTCCTTAGTGCCTCCCTCGCACATGGCGGGTGTGCAACAAGCAGCCGTTACTGAATGATCCCCACTGGGCTTGGCTCTTCCCAGGGCTAGGATGTTATCCCTTCACTACATTAGGTCTGGAAGGCAGGACCCTTGTATCCTAGTCAGGGCTGGGGTGGCCAGGATAAAATAGTGCTCATTGCCTACAAGATGAAGTTAGTTGGTTGCCAGAGGGAAGGGGGTGGGAGAAGGCAGCCCCAATATATAGTGACAGAAGAAGATCTGACTTTGGGTGGTGGGTACATGATGCAATATACAGATCTTGTAACATACTAGGTAAAAACCTACACCTGAAATCTCTATCATGTCGACCAATGTCACCCAATAAATTAAATATAAAAAAAGGTGAAGTTAGAGCCCAGCATGTCCTTTCCAGATCCCTCTTGTTCTGAGGGAAGTATTCTCAGATAATTTTAACCTGGACAAGAGGGGTAGATCCTGTACTGCAAGCATGTCAAACTCAAAGGCTAACAGGGTCAAATAAAAAAAGGTTTATGTGGGCTGCAAAAAAAACAAAAGCAAAACTTCAATTTTCATAGATTTATTTCAATAGAGACATGCTGAATACAAGGGCTGAAATAAATGAGTAATCGTTAACATAAAATAGAACATTTTAATAAAAATTAATATTTTTTCTTGAACATTAACAGAAACTGAATAACTGCACAAATTAATAAACATAATGCAAATAAACCCACTGTTCTCTGAAAGCGAAGTATTTCCTGTTGTGCACGCTAAACAAGTCAGTACAAGACTAATGATGTGGCAATCGGCTGCTAAAATACTTGCTGCTAGTATTAGTGGAGAGAAATGGTGAGCCTGTGGTAAAGCACATATGGGAAATGAATGCAACACGATTATAGTAATCAGTCATTAGTGAATGTTGTAGTTTGTTATTAATAATTACTTGTAACAGGATATTATAAAAATTAACCAGTTAGCTGCTTTATACATCCAAAACAGGATATTGGAATATCTTCCATATGCGCTGGAATATTTTTGAATTTAAGTTACCATAATTTTCTTTACAAACCCAGAGATGTCACTAACAAGTCTAATTTTAAAATTGGGCGACCAGCCGAGACCGGTTTGGCTCAATGGATAGAGCGTCGGCTTGGGGACTGAGGGGTCCCGTGTTCGATTCCGGTCAAGGGCATGTACCTTGGTTGTGGGCATATCCCCGGTAGGGGGTGTGCAAGAGGCAGCTGATTGATGACTCTCTCTCATCGATGTTTCTAACTCTCTATCTCTCTCCCTCTCTGTACAAAATCAATAAAATATATTTTAAAAAAATAATAAGATTGGGCGACCAGAGTTGATATGCGACAATAGATGTGCATGGTGTGTGGGGAAGATCATGAAATTATTAAAATGTTTCTTCCATATCGTTATATTGGCTGGGCCGCAAACATATTCATTGTGGGCCACATGTGGCCGGAGGGCCCAGTTTGACATGCCTGCTGTACTGTGTACTTGATTGGAGAAGGTTCCCAGGAGGGCGGTGGGTGCCGGAGAACCAGCCGGGCCAGAGCTGCAGTCTCAGTGTTGGGCAGGGAGGTCGGTGGGCAGGGAGGTCGGTGGGCAGGGAGGTCCACCCAGAAGGACCTCAGAGCCACCTCTCTTTGCAGCTCTGTTGAAGATGCACTGGACACCGGAACACGCCCAGCCTCTCAACCAGTGGCCGGAGCAGCACCTGGACGTCTCCTCCACCACGCCGTCGCCAGCCCACAAGTTGGAGCTGCCCCCTGGCGGTGGTCGCCAGCGCTGCCATTACGCTTGGGCGCACGACGACATCTCGGCGCTCACGGCCTCCAACCTGCTCAAGCGCTACGCCGAGAAGTACTCGGGGGCCCTGGACTCGCCCTACGAGCGCCCCGCGCTGGGCGGCTACGGCGACGCCGCCTTTCTCAACGGAGCCAAGGGGGACCCCGAGCCCTGGCCGGGGCCGGAGCCACACTACCCCCTGGCCTCGCTGCACGACGGCCTTCCCGGAACCAAGCCGGGCGGTGGGGGCGGCTCGGGGGGCCTCGGGGGCTCCCCGGTTCTAGCCGGGAACCTGCCTGAACCCCTGTACGCCGGCAATGCGTGCGGGGGCCCGGCGGCGGCGGCGCCGGAGTACGCGGCCGGCTACGGCGGCGGGTACCTGGCCCCCGGCTACTGCGCGCAGACCGGCCCCGCGCTGCCCCCGCCGCCCCCGGCCGCGCTGCTGCAGCCCCCGCCGCCGCCCGGCTACGGCGCCCCGGGGCCGCTGTACAACTACCCCGCGGGGGGCTACGCCGCGCAGCCGGGCTACGGGGCCCCGCCGCCCGCCCCCTACCTGCCCTCGGGGCTGGCGGCGCCCACGCCGCTGCCCGCGCCCGCCGCCTACGGCTTCCAGGCCGCCGCGCCGGGGGCCGAGGCCGGGGTGTCGCTGAAGCGCAAGGCCGCGGACGAGGGCGCGGAGGGCCGCTACCGCAAGTACGTCTACGAGCCGCCCAAGGCCCCGGCGGCCGACGGCGCCGCCTACCCCGCCGCGGACCCCGGCGACGGCCGGGGCAACGGGTTCCGGGCGAAGCCGCCGGGGTCGGCGGCGGAGGAGGCGTCGGGCAAGTTCTCCGCAGGCGTCCCGCTCAAGGCGCTGGGCTCCCCGGGCTACGGGCCGCCGCTCGAGCCCTTCGAGAAGTTCCCGGAGCGCGCGCCCGCGCCGGCTCCCCGGGCGGCCTTCGCGCTGCCGGCGGAGGAGCCCCTCAAGGCGGTGGACCCGTCGGCGCTGGAGCTGGCGACGAGCAAGATGCTGGACCGCGGGCCCCCGGTGCAGTGGGCGGACGTGGCGGGCCACGGCGCGCTCAAGGCGGCGCTGGAGGAGGAGCTGGTGTGGCCGCTGCTCAGGCCGCCCGCCTACCCCGGCGGCCCGCGCCCGCCGCGGACCGTGCTGCTCTTCGGGCCGCGCGGGGCGGGCAAGGCGCTGCTGGGCCGCTGCCTGGCCACGCAGCTGGGGGCCTCGCTGCTGCGCCTGCGCGCCGCCGCGCTGGCCGCGCCGGGGGCCGCCGAGGGCGCGCGCCTCCTGCAGGCGGCCTTCGCGGCCGCGCGCCGCCGCCCGCCCGCCGTGCTGCTCATCAGCGAGCTGGACGCGCTGCCGCCGCCGCCGCCGCCGCGGGAGGACGGCGCCGCCGCGGGCTCGCTGCTCGCGCCGCTCCTGGCCTGCCTGGACGGCGGCTGCGGCGCGGGGGCCGACGGCGTGCTGGTGGTCGGCACCACCTCGCGGCCCGCGGCCCTGGACGAGGCCACCCGCCGGCGCTTCGTGCTCCGCTTCTACGTGGCGCTGCCCGACGGCGCGGCCCGCGGGCAGATCCTGCAGCGGGCGCTGGCCCGGCAGGGCTGCGCGCTGGGCGAGCGGGAGCTGGCGGCGCTGGTGCGGGGCACGCAGGGCTTCTCCGGGGGCGAGCTGGGGCAGCTGTGCCAGCAGGCGGCGGCCGCGGCGGGCCTCCCGGGGCTGCAGCGCCCGCTCTCCTACAAGGACCTGGAGGCGGCCCTGGCCAAGGTGGGCCCCCGCGCCACCCCCGAGGACCTGGACTCGTACGCGGAGTGGGACAAAATGTACGGCTTCGGACACTGACGGCGCGGGAGCCGCCGCCCCCCGCTCCCCGGTCCCGGGAGCGGTGTCTGGGCCCACCTGGCTGGGAGGGCGCTGCCGAGTGATGAATGTGGGGAGGGAGGAAACGGGGCTGTGGGTGGATTTTTTTTTTTTTTTCCGTGAGAAGGAAAATGCTTCTGCTAGGCAGATAGATGCCATATGCGCTGTGTACTCAGGTTTTTTCTATTTATTGTGGACGGGAAGCTCGCCATCTCAGCCCCTCGGACGGGCGTGTCTCCCTGGGGCCTAAGGAACTCTTGCGCTGGCTCTCACCACAATTCTTCTGTCTTCTGGCTCTCTGGATGCCTCCCTCCTTCTCCTCCCCTTCCTCCTCCTCCTTTTCCTCCCCCTCCTCCCCCTCCTCCTCCCCCCACTCTCCCCTCTTTCTTTGCTTTCGCTTAAGTTTTCTCTCTCTGCCTTATTGTCACTACCCCACCCCTCATCCTGGCCCAGCCCCCTCCCCCCCAACTCCCATCCTGGCCCAGTTTCTCTCTTGCTCCTCCCTCCCTATCTCCATCTATCACCCTCTGCTCTGTCTCCATCCCTTGCTCTCTAGCTTCCGTGCCTCCTGTCCTTCTCCCTGCCTCTGTCCCTCTCATTCAGAGACTGCACCGTCCCTTTGCAGGAGGTCTGGAGCCCAGCGGCTGAGGAGGAGGGGAGGGGAGTTCCCTCCCACCCGTCACCCAGCGGAACCTTGGGTCTGGGGGAGGTGTCAAGCAAAAGCCACCCAAAGAAGGGTTTGTTATTGTTGTTTGTTTGTGAGGGGAAATCCCAGGAATGTAGCTTGTTTAATATGTAGGCCCCTTATTTTTGTAAGATGTGTAGAACTTGCTGTTTTTCTTTTTCTTTTGACAACTCAGGAAGAAACTGACCTCAGAAAGAATGTTAGACTCAGGCTACTCTCCTGTGCGATCCCACCACCCACCCTAACCCTCAGGAGACGTAGAAAGTGAGACTGGGGTGGGGAAGGGGCGAGGGGGGCCAGATCCACACGCAGACCCTGCTCTTCCTGGGGCAGACGGAAGCGGAATGTACTTGTAGGCTTCCTGCCCGGCCCGGGGCTGTAGACAGGGGTGTTGGGAGCGTGTTGTGGGATTTGAGAGCAGGTGAGTCTTGTCCCCTTTCTGCTACGCATCCAGCTGGGTCCGGCTCTCAGCTCCGTGCTTTCTATGAAGGGTTAACTCGCCCACTTCCTGCCCCAGACCCTGAGAGGCCCCAATGGGGGGTGGGGGGGACAGAAACAGAAAGTCCTCAGAGAGGTCAGCTCACCTGGCCATTGACTGACCAGGCAGAGGCCTCCTGTGTGCAGGCCATGGGGATTGCTCTGCAGGGAGAGACAGTTTGGGCACAAAACTGACTACAGACCCAACCTTCCCTGTCTGCGCGGAGGCTCCGATGAGGGGTGAGCAGGAGAGGTCCTGTGGGGAAGTATTCTTTTCTCATTCTAGGGTCCCAGGTCTGGAGGGCAGGCAGTGGGAGGGGGCAGGCTGCTTTATTCTGACGTTGGGGGGGTCTATTCTCAGTCACACCCACACTTCCCACCAGAGAGGCCCAGGCTTGGGCTTTCTCTGGGAACCGTGTTCCCCCTCTTCCTACCAGCTTCCCTGGATTGGGCATCAGCCCTTTGCCACCTCCCCCTCCGGAGCCCATTTCACCACTGTGGCCTTCGGTCCAAAGCTGGGGGGAACATGCCCTCACCCCTTCTCTCCCACCCCAGCCTCCCTCCCCGATCCCTGCCTGCCCTCACAGCTGCTACAGTCTCTGTACCACCCCCCTCCCAGCTGGGAGGTGTGCAGGGGGGCGTCTGGGTGCCGGGGTGCAGAGGGCTGCACTGGCCTCACAGAGCGGCCAGGAGAGCTGCTCTGTGCTCCCTCTCACCTGGTCTCTTTCTGGCCAACCTCTCCATGGAGCCAGCTGTTTGCAGGCCTGCTGCCTCAGAAGCAGCGGGTGGGCTGCAGGAGCCAGGAGTGAGGTTCTCAGGTGTGTGTATGTATATGGGGGGAGGGCATCAGGGAAGTGGGTGGGGATCCCTCCCTTCCCTTCAAGAGGCAGGCAGCTCTGGGGGTTGGAGGGGGCCTCATTGATTGAGACCCCCCCCCCCCCCACCTCTCCTACTGGCCTTGGGGAACTTTGCACAAGGAGACATCCCCTAATCTGCTAGCACCTACCTCATGGGCACTGGGTTGGGTGGGGGAAGGGCAGGTCCAATTCTGGCGATGTTGGGGGGGGGGGGCATACCAAAGAATCCAGGGGCAGGGGCTGGGGGAGGACAGACACAGCAGGCTGGCCCTCCCCTTCCTCCACCCAGGTTGGGGTTGGGGTCCTCTCCTCCAGCTGTAACCACTTCTACCTCATGTTGCTGTGTGTTGTATACATGGACGTATTTATCTCCTGTCTGAAGATGCTCTGCAGTTGTGGTCTGTCTACCTCAGAAGAGACTGTATTTTAAAAGAAAGTATTACACAGTATTAAAGCGATGACATGTGGTTTCCGGAGGATTTCTTGTGTGTGTGTGTGGGGGGGGGTAGCGAGATGTGGGGAGCCCTCTGGGGAATGCATGGGCACCCAGGCCCAGCAGGGCCCTGGGTGTGGTGCTGTGGGTGTTACTATTCCTTCAGCAAAACATGGCTGTGGAGCCCCTGCTGTTCAGTCTGGCACAAGCAGGGCCCACAGGCGCTGGGCCCTGCAGCCACCAGATGAGAGGCCATAGGCTCAGGCTCCGAAAAGCCCTGGGAGGGAAGGCTCTCATGCTGTTCTGAGCTCTCAGAGGCTCTGCATTGGGGCAGACTCGTATCCTCCAGCTCTGAGGCGGGGGGGGGGGGGGGGGGGGGGGGGCGCGGGAAGGGGAGAGGATGACGACAAAGAAAGGCTTACACGTTTGTTGAATGAATGAATGAAGGAATAAATGAGTGTATGGAGGGAAAGTGGGCAGAGTGTGGAGATAGAGAAATTCTAGTCTTAAGGTCCCAAGATCCTTTATCCGCCACCAGTTACCAATCCCCAAACTACCTGACAACTCTGCATAAACTGGGAGACTGATACAACTAGGAAGGAGCAATCGATGTGTCTTTGTCACATGGATGTTTCTCTCTCTCCCCTCCCTTCCACTCTCTCAAAAAAAAAAAAAAAATCAATGGGAAAAAATATCCTCTGGTGAGGATTAACAAAACAAACAAGAGTGCCCAGAAAAGACCCTGACTCACAATGGGGTGTCAGAAACACTTCCTGGACAGTAGGAGGTACAGCCACAAAGAATGGAGGCTGGCAACAGCACCCTCCATGTGATTTGCTCTAAGAGCAAAAAGAGGACGGGAGCAGTGAGGCTGGGGGAGGCCCCAGGAGTCCTCCCACGCCCTCTGGAGGCTCCATGATGAATGGTACGTATGTGTGGGTGGGTGGGTGGGTGGGTGGGACACAACTGATTTGAAAGTTAATGCCCACACTGATTGAAGAAATCTTGGCCAAAGGATGCACTGGTTGCTATGGGGACAGTAGATGGACTTTACAGCCCGATGGGGGAGACAATGAAAGGGCAGAGCTGTAGGAGTAGATCGGAGGGAGGCAGGGAGGGCTTTCCGGAAGAGACCTGCCAGCTGAGGAGTGACCCAGGCAGAACAGAGTGCAGCCAAGATGCAAAGGAGCCCGGCCATTGGCTGGAGACCGAACAGGTAGTTTGGGGAGCCAGTGGGTGTGGAGGGAGGCGGGGGCTGGAGGAGGAGCTTGCCTCACCCAGCCAAGCCTGAGTGAAGGTTTGGCTGTCCATGTCAGGGGATGGGAAATGAGTCTAGAAATGGGTAGTATTTAGCTGGAAGGCAGAGAATTCAGGTATTGATTGGATATCAGAGAGAATGGAGAAAGAGCTAGGGGTCTAGGGCTCCTGGTGAAGGATGAGGAGGGGCAGGGTTAGGGTTAGAAGAGATGCCAGGGACGTTTTAAAGTTAAGGCCTTAGTGGGGCAGCCCCTCCCAGTCTGGGGTGCTGGGGAACTCCCAGTTCTTAGATGTAAGAGCCTCCGTCCTTTTTTCTTTCTTTCTTTTTAAAAAAAATCTATTTTATTGATTTTTTACAGAGAGGAAAAAAGAGGGAGAGAGAGTTATAAACGTCGATCAGCAGCCTCCTGCACATCTCTTACTGGGGATGTGCCCGCAACCAAGGTACATGCCCTTGACCGGAATCGAACCTGGGACCTTTCAGTCCTCAGGCCAACGGTCCATCCACTGAGCCAAACCGGTTTCGGCTAGACCCTCCGTCTTAATTCCTGTGTGCTGGGAGATGGCCCTCCAACCAGTCACTATTGGAAGCCCCCTTCCAGGTCCTGGGGTGCTGGGCTCCCTCGCCCCCATTGCTGAATGTGGAAGCCTCCCCTTCCCGTCACCCTTGGGTGTTAGCGCCCCTCCCCTCCCCTCCCCTCCCCTCCCCTCCCCTCCCCTCCCCTGCGCGTTCGGAGCCCCTCGTCACGGCCGCGGGCCATGGCGGCGCCGGCTGCGGGCGGGGCGCTGGGCGCGGCCCTGTGGGCCGCGGCGCTGGTGCTGGCGGGGGCCTTGGACGCCATGGGGCCGCACACAGCCGTCCGCCTGGCCGAGCTGCTGACCCCGGAGGAGTGCGGCCATTTCCAGTCGCTCCTGAAGGCGCCGGACCCGGACGTGGAGGAGGAGCTGGCCAGGCTCTCGGAGGATCGGTTGGCCCGGGCCGAACCGTCGGGGCCCGCGTCAGGGGCGCCGGGCCGGCGGCGGCCGCGGCGGGAGGCCACCGACTCCGAGGTCTCCGACGGCTGCCGGGAGCGGCTGGCGGCCTGGCTGGCCGCCGAGGCCCCGGCCCTGCCCTGGGACCGCGTGGCCCGGGCCCTGCGGCGCTGCGGCCGCCCCGACGTGGCCCGGGAGCTGGGCAAGAACCTCCACCAGCGGGCGACGCTGCAGCTGCGCCAGGCCGGGCAGCGCTACCTGCCGCCCGGCGCGCCCCCCGCCCCGGCCCCGGCCCCGGCCCCGGCCCCGGCCCGGGCTCCGGCTCAGGCCCCGGTCCCCGTTGCACCCCTCGCCCCGGCCCCCGCCCCGCGCTCCCGCCGCGCCCCGGCCGCCGAGCCCAACTGGGACGCGCTGGAGCTGATCGTGGAGCGGCTGCCGCAGGCCCCATACGAGCGCAGCCCCGCAGGCTGGGCCGGGCCGCTGGCGCTCGGCTTCTGCGCCGGCTTCGTGGGGTCGCTGGGCGCCGGGGCGCTGCTCATCCTGCTCACGCTGTGGGTCACGGGCAGCGACGGCGACGGCGACGGCGATGGGGATGCGGTGCGGCTCAGGCCCGGGGAGGCGCAGGGCCGGCGGGAGGCAAAGCCGCTCCTGACTGAAGAGCAGCTGGTGCAGCCGGAGGCCTGGGCCTGGGCTGCACCAGGGCCGGGTCCTCCCTCTCCCCGGTGCCCCCGGGGAGTGGGCACAGTTATGGGGCAGGGATCCCCGTGATGTATTATAAAAGTTACAAAACTCGCAAAGGAGGGAGCGATCGGTTGGTTTGTTAGTTCGTTGAAAATGATGGCATGTTCAGGGGCGGGGGATGGGGGGGGGGGAGGCAGGCCCTCCCGATGCCTGTCAGCCTCATTCCTTACTGTGAACACATTCTTCCGCTAAGAACTACCATTCATGGAGCACCAGCCAGAGGTGCGCCCACTCCCAGGGTCTGAGGCCTCCCAGCTCCTCTCCTCATTCTGGCAAGGCCTCCTGAAGGCCTACCAAGAGCCCCAAACCGATCCCACCCCCCTGAATGCCTGGCCACTGCCAGACCAAGCCCTGAGGCTGGGTGAGCCCTCACACAGACTGCTCAGCTAGTGTCCCCTCCCCCAGACTCCCCCGTCCCAGGGGAAGGTGTGGGGTCCTGCTGGGGGGGGGGGGAGTGCGGGACCCCCCATCCACCCTGGGCTGAGGGGCTTTGGTGTGAGAGCAAGGACAGAATGACAGGCCAGGCCAAGAGGAGAGTTGAAAACAAGATTGACGTAACCCTTTATTGCAAATTCTAAAGTAAAAAGATGTACAGTACAAAGTAAAATTGAAATTTCAGACTATAAACTTCCAATCCACTGACACATTCTCATTTCTCAAGCAGTTCTGCCATTTCCGCGTGAACGGAACCAGGGACGAGTTGAGGCGGTGAGGGGAGGAGATACAGCAAGGGGGGGAAATTAAGTGTTCAGGATAATCACAAACCCCAGAAGCAAGGGAAAGGAAAGGTGTTTTCTCGACCTGCTGTCCTGGTGATGAGAAGCGGGAGTGGCTGGAGCAGTGCAGTTTAGAATGGCTCTCAGAATAGCAGCATTTATGGTACCATCGCGTCTTCCTTACGTCCACGTACTACGTCGCCCTTCCCTAGTGCCTTTGCCTCGGTATCTCAACACGCTTCGCACAGCGTTTAGGTGAAGCCTCACAACACCCCTGTGAGGTAGGTCAGTATTATTACCCCCATTTTACAGATGGGGAAACTGAGGCACAGAGAGGTTAAGTGACTTGCCCAAGGCCACACAGCGAGCCAGCGGTCGAGCTGGGAATGGAACACAGGAGTTCTCTGTCCCTTTTCTGGAACCACTGGACCCCGCTCCCCTTTACCTATATACATTCTTCACACACACACACACACACACACACACCACAAGTGCACACCCACCCACCCCACCCCCCTTAGCCTCTATGTACAGCGAACAGGAGTGGGGGGACCAGGGCAGGGGGTGCCTTAGCAGCGTTGTAATGGAGGAAATCTCGGTCATCTTAGAAGGGGAGCCCAGGAAAGCACAGAGCTGAGCCACAATGCAGGCTCTGGGCAAACCTTGGGCCCCTCCCCACCCAGACCTCCTCTCCCCTCCTGCTGTCCCACCCGGCTGGCTGGCTGCAGCCAATGTGTTAGGGGTGGGGGTACCTGAAAATGAATGAAGCTTTTTGCAAAACTTTGGGCAACATCTGAGAAAAGAAAGAGGCATTGTTACCGAAGATGCCCAGGACTCAAGTCACAAAGTTGTAACCCGTGGCAACCTCACCTCCACAGCAGGCCTGGAGGCTGGGGACCGGGGAGGATGGGGACTGACCTACCAGCCGTTTCTCTGCAGAGTGGAGCTACTGGAGCAGACAAGAGTGAGCACTTCAGAATCCTCCTGAGAGTGTTTCTGGGTCGGGGGACAGGGCCTCCAGAGGGCTGTCCCCAGAGCAGGGCAGGGCAGGGCGAGGGAAGCCCCTCACCCCTGCACACACGTGAACGAGACCAGCCCTGGCGTGCTGGCGTACCTGTGGGTGATGGAGGGCAAGGCCCAGCACAGCTAGCAGAGCGGAGGCTGCTGGGCACCGTGCACGCCTGAGCTTGGGGGCATTGGTTAGATATTTTTCACAAACTGGTGAAAAAGGCAGAAGTAAGGCCAGCCCATGGGGTTGGCTGATATCCCTGGGGGCTCTGCCAGCTGAACCGGTGAGGAAGGGGTCTCATGGGCCTGTAAGCACCAGCCTAGGAAGGGGGGACACATGC